CCCTCAGTCTTCAATAAGCCCCGTTTCCCCAGCCTGTCCTCACCAGTCCTGTCCCCCAGCCCCCAACCATTTTCGTTGCCCTCCGTTGGACTCTGTCCAAGGTGTCCACATCCTTTTTGTAATGGGGGCTCACAACCTGACCCAGGACTCCAGATGTGGCCTCCCCAGTGCTGAACAGAGGGGAAGAATCACTGCCCTCCATCTGTGCCTCATTGTCCCGGCCAGCTCTGAGCCCCCTCCTCTGTCTACCCAGAGGAGCTCAGTGCAGATGGAGGGTCCCCGAGCATCTGGGGGGTGTTTGCCCTTCCCCACCCCCTGCTGCGAGGGTTTGGCCCATGTGTGGAGCCAGGCCGTGAGAACCCCTCTCCCCCAAGTCAGGGCTTGCTGGATGCGGCCCGAGTGGTCAAGGGCAAATGCCAGAGTCCAGCTCCCGCCCCCGCCGGGCACACAGTGTGTGCCCGCTCCTACAATGAGCTCATTCACTGGGAGGGGAGAGGCTGGGGAAGGGTGAGGGGGCTGAGCGGTGCCCAACCACAGTCTCGGCCAGCGCCGCTGCGGCACGGGCATCCAGTGGAGGCTGCGGGGCTCCCCCCGGTCAAGGCTGGGCCTGGGATGGACAGACCACGGCCACGCTGGACTGGGGTGGCTGGCGGCATGGGGCAGGCCCCTCTGCTTGCCCCCACCCAGGTACGGCCCCAGCAACATGCAACGGGCTTTTCTTTACCCTCTGGTGTGGTGGGGGCGGGGATTGGACCTACTCCTCTTAACCCAATGGGTATAGGGTTCCCATTGTCTCTGCCCCAACTACAGGGGCTTCCAGCCCTGGGCAGAAGGAGGGGAGTGGGTCCGTTCTCCTTGGCCTGTTCTGCTCTCAGGGCTATGGTGGAGGCAGCTGGCCCCAGGACCTTGAGGGATCCAGAAACAGACTCCCACGCGGTTGCTCAAGGTCCCCTCCTCTCCCCAGGGCCGCGGAGCCCCCATGGCTTGTCCAACACGTTCTTCCTCCCACCCCTTCGTGGCGTGCTCCACCCCAGAGGTGGCCGCATGCCTGTGGCTGGCTGGGCAGGGCCCAGCAGCTGGATAGGGAAGGGGAAGCTGCGGCTGCCTGCGACTGTCCATCCTCCCCTCCGGCGTGGGTAGCAGCCCAAGAACGCGCCGCACTTCTCTCCTTCCTGTTTGCCTTGGCACCTGGGTGGGCGCGACGTGCGCGTCGGAGCCCGGGCGTTTCCTAGCAAGCGGTGCAGGCCCTTGCTTGTACCCTGCGGGCTGAGCTGGACGGGGGGGCAAGATGGTGACAGTAGTTGCCCTTGGGACTTAACCCCCTGCTCTGCGTGCGAGGGGACGTGGGCACTGAGTGACACGAGCTGCCCCTTCCCCAGAAACCCCTGGCTGCCCCCCCCCCAGCTTGGAGGAGGTGAGCTCTCACACTTGTCCCCCTTTTTTCTTGCAGCATGAGACTGCGGACGTCGGCTCCTCTGTGATCCCTTGCTCCATGGATGGGGCCGTTGGCTCTGCCCTCGATGACTGTGCTGGGAGCCGCTGCACCAGGCCCAGGTGGTTGTGGGCTGCCACGCTCTGACCGGCAGTGAAGGCTGGAAGTGAATGGGCAGTGACTAGAGGCCAGTTTTGGACGCGACGCCCCTCCTATCACCCTCTCCTGACACCACACACCTTCAAGGTCTCTGTGGGGAGACTGAAAACAGACTCCCTCTCCCCAAATCCACCCCCCCCCCCCCCAAAAAAAAAAAAAAAAAAAAAAAAGGCTGCTTGCTGTGAGAAGACCCTGGAGAAGGCTGGATGGAGCCGCAGCCTCCACCTCAGGTAGGGACCACGGCGCTGCTCCTGCACCAGATGCAGGGACCATCTCTGCTGGGCCTGTGCCCAGCAGCTGTTAGTGCAAACGTTGGGTATCGTGCTCTCTAGGGCGGTCGTATGGGGGAGATGGATTTGGGTTTCAGTGGCTCCGCTGCAGTCTGGAGTGACTTTGGATTGCCACCGTGTCACTGGGAGCAAGATCAGCGCCCCTTGGGGTGGCGGCATCTCTCTGGCCCAGGCTGATTCCCGGCTTCCTTTGCTGCAATCCTGGGTGTGTAGCTGGAGAGGCCACCCCTGCCCATGTGCTCTGCTCCGTGCCGTGGGTCGGCATCTGCCTGGAGGTGGGTGAGCCATGGTAGTGGCACATTGGCATCTCTGGCACAGCTCCTGCCATCCGGTCGTGCATTGGGGTGTGCGCTCTCCCGTGGCCCCTGAGGCCTGACCCTGCCCTCCCAGGCCTGCAGCCTCCCTCCCCATCTCGGGGCTGCAATGACTGGGTTCGGGCTGTGGCTGGGTGTGTGGGACCGCATCCCAAAGAGGGTGCTCAGTGCCTCCTGGTGGCCAATTGAGACCGTGCCCATCCCGTGCTGCCAGGAACGGGGCGCTGTGTGCCTCTTGCTCCATACCCCTGGCAGCTGTCAGGTCTCCAGCCCCTATTCTGGGGTTTCTGTGAGAGTCGCCGCTGTCTTCGTCCAGGAGCTCTGGGTGCAGGGAGCAAGCTGGGGCGCTCGGCAGGGGGGAGATGGTGTTGGCAGCTCCTCCATTTGGGCGAGCTTTCCAACCGGTCCTGACTGATCAGCGTGTTTAACCAGCTGTTCCAGCTGGGTGCCGGCTCCGGCTGTTCCCTCCTGCCCGCGCTGATTCCTTCGGCTGTTGTGGGCGGCTGACATGCTGACCTTTGCTGCCTGGTGTTGGAAGAGCAGCCCTGTGGGTCATAAAGCCCATACTGCCAGCAGCTGATGGAGATTCCCCTTAGCTCAGAAGGCAGGTTTGGGCTTTTGAGCAGAATTGGGGTCTGTGTCCCTTCTCTGCCCTTGCTAGAGGGCTCAGACCACCCCTAAGCTGCACAGTGCCAGCCCTAGACTGCTGCCTCTCCTTCACAGCCAGCCCTGTTGGCTTTTGTGGCATCCATAGCTGGCAGGGGACTGTGGCATCTCACCCCAGAGGTGGCCGCATTCCAGCAAGCTAAGGTTTTGGTGCTTCCCTCCGCCATCTGCCTCTTGCATCTGCTGCCACGTCCTGGCCCCTAGTCCTTCCGTCCCTTAGGACCGAGGAGGCCCGTGACTGCCTGCTTCCCAAACCACCCGCAGAGTCTCAGCTAGGTCTGCTCACCCTGCAGGAGACTCACAAACCCTCCTCATCCCCCAGCATCCAGCCTCCAGCACCATGGCGGGGATGGGACTCCACCGGGGCTTGCTTTCGACTTCATTGCGTGCAGGGGGCCGGTGAGCGACATCCTTGGAGGCAGAGGCCTGTGGCCGCCTCTCCCTGCTTCTTGCAAAGCCTTCAAGGGGCTCCGAGGCCAGGACGGTGTTGCAGCTGACGCTGCTCTTGGGAATGCGCCATGCCCCCTGCTCCCTGCCAGTGCAGGGTGACTCGCTGTGGGCGGTACAGGGGCTAGGATGCACAGATGAGCTATTCCGATCCCGTCCAGGAGAGGGCAGCATTGTGTAGTGTGAGAGCCGGGGAAGGGACAGAGCCCAAGCCAGGGCAGGGGTCTCTCCCCCTCCACCCTTCTGGGCCGTGGCCCCCTCTGCTCCGGCAGAGCTGCTGTGCTGTGGCCTGCCACACTCGTAACATGACCCCGGACCTGCCAGCTCTGTGTTGGCGCTCGCTACCGGCTCACCCGGGAACAGGGGCGCCAGGGCTGGACTCGCAGGGTGCGGAAGCGCCCCTGCAGCATGCACATAGCGGGGTATATCATAAGACGGGATCCCCAGAAGAGCCCTGTCCCCTGCCATGGGGATGCCCCCAGACTGACACCCCGTTGCTGGGGAGGGGGTGACACGTGATGAATCCCGTTGTCTCCAGGCAGAGCAGGGGTCTGCGGCGACCAACCATGGGGCTGCCGTGGCTGCATGGCACGTCTGCAGCTTGGCATCTGGAGGGGATTTGGGGGAGGAAAGCAGCTTAGGGGCAGGGATTGAGCTTGAGCAGGGACAGCCGGGCTCCTCCCCTCCTGCCCAATGCCAGCTCCCAGGACCGAGTTCGAAGACTGGGGTGGAGGAGGCTGGTGCATGCACTCAGAGCTTGCCCCCTTCGGGCTTCCCAGAGCCGGGGGGCTCTGAGGCTGGCTCCCAGGGTGCTGAGCATGGACTCATTCACCCCCAAAACCTGCCCTTCTCCTCCCACCCAAGCTGGGAAAGCTCAGGCTGTGGGTGCCCGGGTGGTAGGAGCAGCCCCGGGGCCTTGCAGCAGGGGCTCTGGTTAATCATTGCCATGGCGCAGAGCTTCGTGATGCATTAACAAACTCCGGTATCGAGTGGGGAGATGCCAGAGCCATGGGGGAGGGGGATACTGGGGTGGTTGAACACCAGCCTGCAACCGTGGGGACCTGGAGGGGATAGCAAGGCCCCCCTGGCACTTCCCCACTCAGCATCGTGTCCTCAGGTGAGCGCTGGACACCCTGGCACCGGTTTCCTGGCTGCAATGGCGTGTCCGTGGTGTATCGGGGACAACAAGGCCCAGGCACCTGGCTGCCTCCGAGCTGTCATATGCGGACAGGCAGGTCCTTGGCACGTGCCCCATGGGAGGGCCAGGAGGCTGGATCTGGGCCCATCCATGATCCAGGCATGCCATCGGTGGCACGATGCACACAGGTGCAGAGCCTCATCCTCCTGCCAGCTGCGCCGGGGGAGCCAGGCCGGGACAAGAAGCCTCCCCATGCCTGGCTTCCCACACGCGTGTGCGTGTGGCCCATGGGGCTGGGCACGTGTGTGCAGGGCCGGCTGGAGGAGCCGCCCGACCTGCCTGCTCCCCGGGGCGTGTGTCACTGAAACTCAGGCCGGCTCCACCCCTGCTCCCGCGGGCTCCCGGGATGAATGCTCCCTGGGCAGCAAAGCCGGTGAGCTCACTGCCGTGTGACCGGTCAGCGGGGCAGGACGGTGTCCGAGCCAGCCGGGATGCAGGAGGTGAGTGGAGGCACCGAGCCCACCTCTCGGTCTGTGCGTCTGTCTGCTGCGCTGTCAGGGCCCTGCCAGCCCCCTCCAACAAGGTTATACCAGGGGGGTCGAACATGAATCTTGCTGGGGTGTGTGGCCATTCCCCCGTGCTGGGGGCAGGGATGGAGACCAAAACCGAGAGGCTTGTTGTGGGGGGAGACCTCTCTCGTGGGGCAAAGACCCAGGGGGGGCAGGAAGCTGGGGGATTGCAAACCCACTCCGTGCCGGGGTGGAGACGAGGAGACTTTGGGCTGCGTGTCTGCTCGGCATGGAAATGAATCCCACCATTGCCAGCCGAGCTGGGGGCGCGCACATGCGTCCTCCCCTGCCTTTGCTCGCCCCTCTTTTTGCGAGGTCTGGACAGCGCCCAGCATAGCACGCGTGTCAGTCACCGCCTGCCTCACATACCGGCGTGCTGACACACGTGTGCGTGTGGGCAGGAGGTGCCTCACGAGGTCGGGGCCGTGGGGCTCTTCCCCGCCCCGGCGGATGAGCTCAGCACCCTGGCACGACGGGAGGAGCTGAGGCCACGTGGAGCCCCGGGCAGGGAAGCCAGGTCACCTACTTCCTCTGGCTGGCTGCTCCACAGACCCAGCCCCATGGGGCACTCACCGTGTTACCAGCGGGGTGACCGTGGGGAGGTGAACAGCCCTTGGGCTTGGCTCTTCCTAAAATCCTCTGGGGGAAGACCCCAGTTGTCCCCTTCCCCTGTAACAAGTTCATCCCCAGCCCTCCTTTGTGGGGTCTGAGCGCTTAGGGATGGGTAAGACCCTTTCCTGCTGGCATTGCCCATAATGGCACTGGCGCCCCTCCAAAGGTCCCTGGATGCTGGGCGACTTGTGGAACCCCAGGGCCAGCTTGGGGGAGGTTGCATGTGAGCCTTTGGCCTCGCTGGGCCAAATCTGGGCGCTGCGGAGCTGGCCCGGATGGGCTGGGATGCAGACCAGAGCCCCTGAGCGCCTCCCCACCCCCAGGTCCCAGCACTTCCTCCCCTGCCCGACCTGGAGCCGTCAGGCCAAGTCACTTCCTACCTGGGAAGGTGAGTCAGGCTGAGCGGAGCCTGGAGACAGGAAGCAGGGGAGAGGGAGCAGCCCATGCTTCGCCTCGCGGGGCCCGGGGAGCTTTGCAGAGACAACGACGGCTGCCACGGGTCTGAGTGTGGTCTGAGTGGCACGGGGCTGCCGTGGCACAGGGCTCACACCTGGTGCTGGCGGGGTCCGAGAGGCCCGGTGGTGGAGCAAGGAGCCTGGTAATCTGTGGCCAGCCCCGGCTCGTTCGAACCCAGGCAGGGATGTGGGGGACGGTCGATTAGCACCCATGGCACGTCTGCGTTGAGTCCAGGGACTCAGCTGGGAGGAGGCAGTGCTGCCCAGTGGGTGCAGCAAGGCACGGCACCCCACGAGGGGGGAGAGGAGGCAGGGTTGCCCTGATGAGACGAGACCACCTGAGGCAGGATCTGACCGTGCAGACCCCCTGCCCAAACCATCTCCCCCCAAGCCTGGCTGGGCTAGCAGGGGGCTGCGGGTCAGGCCTGGGGGGGTCCGTCCTGCTGGGCCAGGGGCAGGAACGGGGGAGCTGGGAGGGGTGCTGACTGGCTGTGGGTTGGGGTACCGCCGCGGGGGGGGCTGTGGGCCCGGACTTGGCCTGACAGCCCCCTTGCCCCGGCTGTTGAGAGGCACAGAGCCCTATACAGTGCCCCCCACCCCCGTCGGACACGTACACACGTGTGCCCACACATTCCTGTGCGCGCCTGGGGCTGAGCTAATGGGCTGTGCTAATTGTGCAAGGAAAGCGGTGGAGCGGGAGAAGCAGAGGCTGCGTCTGGGGGCTGGCAGAGCCCAAGGGACGCCGAGACCATCCCAGGGGCACGAGGAGGGTCCTGGTAGCAAGGTCCAGACCAGGGAAGTGGGGCAAAAGGTTTGTTGCTGGGAGAAGGGAGCATTTTACCTCCATTTCCTTAAGCCCCCACAGCAGGCGCAAACATTGGCATCCCTGGGTTACAGGCGGGGAAACTGAGGCACAGGGTGAGCTCATGAGACCACCCTGAGTGGCAGGAGTCCTGGGTTTCTTGCCTTAGGTGTCTTTGGCCCCCAGGTCTCAGTGGGCATTCAAGCAGCCTGACCCGTCCTTCTTGCCCTCCATGTGCCAGAGTCAGGTGTGCATGGACCCGCCGGCCCCAGGAGACATCGCAGCATGCTGGGCACCATCCTGCCCCGCTACTGGGGGCACGGGTGGCGCGGGGCATTTCTCAGTGACTGCAGGGGCTGTGGCACCGGGTCAGGCTCGGGCGGAGGGCAGCTCCGAGACCCCAAACTCTTCGTCATGGAGAGATGGGCATCACCGGGGCACAGCAGGAGATGCTGGCACGGCTGCCTCCTCACGGTGACAATCTGGCTGCTTAATCTCTAAACTAACCCTGGCACCAATTTATTTATTGATTTCCCCCGCCCCGTGCAGCATCTGCGTCAGTGACCAGAGCGCGTCTGCTACAGGGGGGCACCCAGCCCCCCAGAAACCCCTCCCCAGCACAATCTGGGGTCTTACTGGGGGGGTCTGTGGACGGTGGCCAGCCCAGCCCTGCCTGGCCGTGAGTTTGGAAACGAGGGCTCCCTGTCCGTGTCCCCCACCACCCGCTACCAGGCAAAGGGAGGGCTGGCACCCGTATGCCAGGTCGGCGCAGCCATCTTCCCGGGGTTCCCTTCCCCCTCCTGCGTTTGGATGGCGGAGAGGCCTGGGAGCCGGCGTGGGGAGGGGGAGCTGGCGCCGGGAGCATGAGCAGTGCAGGGATGCTTTCCCAGCCAGCCCAGGATGCTGCTGGCTAGCCAGCATCTCTCCTCCCCTTGCAGGCAGGGGCTGGGCACGGTGACGCTGCGGCCTGGTCTTGCACCTGCCTGGAGACGGGGCCGCTAGCTGCAGCCTCTGCGGCTCTCCACCCGCATCCTGCCAGGGCAGGGGGATCTCCGGGCCTGGCATCGCTCTGGGTTGCAGGGGGAGGCCTCCCCGGAGAGGGATGCTCCCGCATCCCTGCAGGGATCTGGCTGCCGGAGGGACAGCAAGCTGCTGAGGTAGGACCACAACGCCCGGGCCGGGGGAGCCGGCACCCTTGGGCCTGGGTCACCTTCACCGTTCCTTGCCTCCGGCACTGCAGCAACTTTCTGCCATGTGACCGCGGAGCCTGGATCCATCCCTGCTCCATCGCTGGCGCCGGCCCCGCAGCCATGGGGGAGAAGTCGGACTACCAGCGCTTGGGCAGCGCCGAGGAGGACGACGAGGCCTTGAGCGCCCGCCCCGCCACCTTCCCGGAGGGCGCCGGGCGCAGGTCCCCGCGGCTGCTCAATGGGAACTCTGGGCCTCCACAGCAGGAGATGCCACTGGGCGGCCAGGCAGCGCCGGACCAGAGGGTCAGTACAGCGGGGCCACGCGGGTGCTGGGTACCAAGTGGGCTCGTTCGTGGCTACTTGGGGTCCCCCGTCCCGTTGCGCCTTGATCGCAGCAGCATCCTGGGGGCGTTGTGGGGTGGGTGGTGGTACACAGGTCTAAAAGGTGCCCGTCACCCTCAGTGGCAGCTCTTGTAGGCCTGGAGCAGAGCAGGGCAGGGCATGATGCCCCGGCCCCCCAGGGCTTGGCCTGCCTGCAGTGGGCTGTATTGCAGGGGTGGAAAGCATCGCTGTCCTGGGAGCACAGCCACATGGGAGGGCCGGGAAGATGAGACATGCATGCTCAGCTGCATGGTCTATGCTGTTTTATATCAGGGAAACTGAGGCACGGCACGGGGAGGTGGCTGTGCTGAGGCCACGAATGAGCCCATGGCACGGGGGTGCAAAGCACTGCAGATCCCAGCTCTTAGGCCTGCTAGGAACGGCTTGAGAAGTGGACATGCAGCTCCCCGGGGACTCTGCCAGCAAGCGCTGAGCAGACCTGGGAGACCTGCCTGCCTGCACAGACCTCTCGCCCACAGAGATCGGGCCGTGCCCAGCAGTCGGGGCTTGGCACTGAGCAGCATGATTCACTGGGAGGAGGCTGGGGGCTGGAGGAGCAGTGGCCTTGGCAGGGGGACATGGGGCTGAGATAGCAGGGGTTCGCAGCAGTGGCAAGGCAGGGAGGGGCGGGCAGGGCCGGGCATGGGCAGTCAGAGGCTGGAGGAAGGCAGGCACTTAGGGGTGAGGGGCAGGGGCCAGGTGTGATGGAGAGGGTGATGAGGTGAGCTGGCAGAGCTGTGCATAGACAGCCCCGGGGCAGGGCCTGGCATCACTGTCCCCTTGCGGATGACGGGCCAAGCTCAGGCCAGACCCCTGACCCCAAGGGGAGCAGGGCCGTGGCGGGTTGGGGTGGGGCACTGCAGGCCCCTGGTACTGAAACTGCCCCAACTCCATGGGCAGCCCCCCCATAGTGACCCCAACGGTGGAGGGGCATGCAGGGTGTCCCTGAGGGGCCAGGTATATGCAGGGCACGCTTTGGGCAGGCGGCTGCCCTGCAAGACGCCTTGGCTTATGCATCCAGCTATGGCCCAAACTGGGCTGAATCATGCTAGAAAGCATCATGGGTTGGGCAGGTTTCCATGCAGACAGATCCTGGCGATACCCCCCTATCTGTGCTAGGCCAGAGGTAAGGGATGCCTGGGCATGGGACTCTGCTGGCAGGCAGGCACCAGGGCCCCGGGGCAGGGATCGGGGCTTCCCGACGGGACATCTCCATCTTTCGGTGACCACAGTCTTTCCATGGGGCTCCCCTCGCAGCACCCTGTGCCCAGGTGGATGGAATGGGGAAACTGAGGCTGACCCCTGCACCCACAAGGGCATCACTAGGGGCTCATCAGATTCGAACCCTGTCCCCACTGCGCCTTTGGGAAGAAACCTCCCGGCTGCACGGAGGGGAGAGAACAGCCCTGCCCCCCCATGCTGAGTGCGGTGGACTGCCTGCTCCCAAGAGAGGGAAACTGAGGCACGGAGGGGCTGCATGGCTGGACGTAGCTTATGCAACGTGCATGCTCCAGCAGTCCCTGTGGCCTTGTCTGGCCAAGTGGAGGTGGGGTGGGGGATTGGGAAGGCATTTTACCCCAGGGGCAGATCCGCATGGGCTGCAGGGGTTTTGCCTTCCTCTGTAGCAGGGAATGTGGCTCTGGGCATCTTCGGCAACAAGCCTCGTAGTTGCGTGGCAGGCTTGACCGTGCAGTTCTAGGGACCGGTCGGACACGGACGTGCCTGGGCTGCTTTGGACGGGGCCGATCCTGCCTCTAGCGGGGGCCTGCACTAGCTCTCACCCTCCGATGTACCCGGCTTTGCTGCGACTCCTCCGTGTCTTTCCTGGCACTCCCTGAGCTGGCTCGGGAGCCGTCCTCTGCATATGCAAGCACCCGGCGATGCAGGGGGACCTTCTCCCCTTTGGGTGTGGGCGTCAGCCCCTCAAGCAGCCTCCAGCCCTGCCGCGCTCTCATGGAGGATGCCCTGTGCCGCGCTGCCCTCGCTCAGCTCCCTGCATGGCAGAGTCTGGCAGCGCCCTGTGCCTGGCGGCTGTGCCAGCCCCTCCTCGCGCCTCGGCTGTGCCCGACATGTCAATGAGACGCCGGCAGCTGCAGCCCCTAATTGGGGAAGCAGGACACACCTGCGCTTGGCCTGCCGCCCGCTTCACTTCCTTTCCCACCGCCCTGGACAGACAGGCCCTGTCTCTTATGGAGCCCAATCCTGCCCGGGGCTGTGCAGGCTTGAATCCCATCACAAGCTGTTGCAGGGACACTCTGTGCACCGCCATGTCCCTTCTCTGCCCGCCTGGCTGAGCGTGGCAGCCCCAGATGTCTCGGTACATGACCTTTGGTGCCGGGGGGCTGTCGTGCCTCCCCGTTGCCTGGCCGTGAGTGGCTGGAGGGCGCCTGGGGAGAAGGGAAACCCATAACCTGGGGCACAACTGCCCCTGTGTTTGGAGCACACGCGCGTGTAACCAGCTGCTGTGCGTGGCCTCCATGGGGGGGTGGGGAGGGAGGCTCTCCACCAGCCATCACGTGGATGCCATGACCTGAGCGTGATGGGCTGCCTGAGTTTGCAGAGAGCCTGGGCCTTACCCTAACCAGCTCCAGGTGGTGGAGGGGGCACTTTAACCCTTTCATTGCTTACCAAGGTGGGCAAGAAAGCATCTGTGCATGGCAGGGCATACAAAAGGGGGGCAGAGGAGATGCATGCATTGAGGTCACCAGAGGGCAACGGTGCCCTGTGTTTTAAGGGGGGGGTTAACCCTGCTAGGCTCCTTATTTAGGGAAGGGACATCCGGGCCAGGCAGCCCGGCACAGGGGCCTCTTGGCCTCGGCTGGTTTTGCAAGCAGGGGTCCCAAGGGGGCTGTGAGGAGGAGGAGGGCAGGTCAGGCCGGGGTCTGACCGCCTCCAGCCGCCCGCGGTCTCCTATCTCTCACGCCACGAGCAGCCTCCATGGAGCTCCGGGGCCGCGCGTTTGTCCAGCTGTTCTCCCCGGGGACCCGCCGGGACCCGGTGCTTCCCTGCTTGGCGCGGGGACAGCCCTGTGCTTTGGGACGCCCCAGGGAGCCGCGGGAGTGCAGGGGAAGCGCGCAGCCCTGTCCCCGCCAGCCCGGGCCAGCTGTCAGGTGCACTGCACAGGAAGCGCTATGTGGAGCTGCGGCGCGCGGCCAAGCCCCTGGGCCCCGCGTGTTCATGAGATCTTGGCGATGCCTCCAGTTGTGGTGTGGGAAGGGGCCAGGCCTTGGTAGGAGAGGCTGCCCCCGGCTCCCTGAGCTCAGCATTGCTCTGTCACTTGGAGCCAGCGTTTTACCCCCAGCCACCGAGGGGGAAGGGCTGTTGGCCCCCACAGCCCACCCCGCTGGCCCCGCTTGCTGCTGGGATATGCCTGGCTCTGAGCAAGCCCCCCAGCTCTGCAGCGGGAAAAGTGGGGTGACACAGATGCATCGAGAAACAGGATCTTGGCTGGTCCTGCTCTCCCTGACCCTGTGTCCTGGGGAATCGGCTCCGGGGCTGCCACGGGTCACATCTGCCCATCAGCGAGCGTGCAGGCATGGCCACCTCGGGGCTTCGGGCACATGCCCTGTGCTAAGCAGAGGGAGAAGACCTCCCTGAGGCCTCGGGGGACATGGGCATTCCCACCTGCCTGCCCTGCCTCCGGCCGCTGCAGGTAGCGGGACTGCCCCGGGGTCCAGGGCCTTTCAGTGCCGCATGGGGCTGGGGCTGGGGCTGGACACGGGACTCACATCAGTCCTTGCTGGGCTCCGAGGCCGTGCAGCGTGAACGCGGGTGACATTTTGCAGGTAGAGACGGCCGTGCTGATGGGACACTGCTTGTGCTTTGCGCATGCCCATCCCCAGGGCGTCTGGGCTTGGAGGAGCCACGTGCTTTGTATACAGAGGGATTCCCCGTGACCTGCCCATTGCAGGCTCGGGCTTTTCTAGAGGGACGGTTGCAGACCCAGCCCGGTTGCAGACGACTCCCAGGCTCCAGAGCTTGAGCTGAGATAGCCGGGCCTTGCGGCGCGGCCACGGCAAACTGGAACCGTCCCCCGGGAACGCTCGGTCTGCAGCTCGGATATCCAGGTCACCGGGCTGGGCTATGCCCCCCGTCCCTCCCTTCCCCCTCCCGGTGCAAACGAACCGAGGGCAGCAACGCGATCTCCGTCCGCGTGTGCACGGGGCGGTGGGGAGCCCGGGTGGAGAACGGGGCGCCGAGGAGCACGTGAGAGAGGCCGGGAGAGCGGAGGAGACTGAGGAGCTGTTTGAAATCCCAAGCAAGAGGCCCACAGGAAACAGACTCTCCAGCCCGCAGTTAAATCTGACCTCTTGGCTGCCGATCAAAAAGCGTTCCCTGCGAATACCATAGCGTCTCTGTTCCAGCCAGGCGGGCAGACGCGGGAGTGAGGGGTGGGAGCAACTCGCCACGGGCCGGCGC